TGTCCCAGAACCTCAGCCTGTGCTCCTGTCCTGCCAGAGCATCTTCAGCTCCAGCCCTCTTAACCTTCCGGTTGAGGCCTGGTTCCCCATTGGCATGTCTGTCCATTGCTGTGTCCCAGTGGGAGGCCCTGCCAACAACTGCATCCCTGTTGTAGGCCCTGCCCACTCTTTTGGGCCTGTCAGTGGCCTGGCCTATACCTGCCCATGTTTTTACGTTGACGGCAAGACAGAAATCTCCTCGCCGCCGCCTTCCCAAACTGCTCTCACCGTTTGGTCGGCCTCCCGTCCTCCCTCCTGAACTATTTGCGCTCATGCCCTTCAGGTTCCTGCTCTCCCTCTGCCCTGCCGCCCACCTGAACTTTTCTGCTCCCTGAACTCTAGCCCTTGGTTCAACTCAGCTGCAGACTATTAAACATCCTGCCTCAGTGCACAGATGAACTGTACAGGACTGTACAAAGATTAGTGGGATTCAAAAATAAATATATAAATAAAATAAAAAAACTTTGTTCTCAGCATGCTTCTCTTTGAACTCTGTTCTGCTGCAAAATATTCCTATGAAATCTATTTTATCTTTCTATGATTAATCCACTTGACCAGCTCATGAGTACCCCCCCCCAAAAAAAAAAATTATCCTGAACTGTGATTGGCTATTCGCCCTGTCAGAGCTGAGACTAATGATAAAACTGACTCTTCTCTTTTTTTAAGGCTCCATGTAATTTTCTTAACACATCAATGAATCATTTTTAATTGTTTGATAAATAGTTAAAATAATAATAATAAATACTTTGCATATCTATTTCACAAGACCGGTGCATAGGACGGTAATGCACACTGTCATACTTGCAATGAAGTAACTAGCATGTACAGGACCAACACATTGCTAATTCATGTAATCTTGCAAGTTTGACTGTAAGTACTTTAAATTTGGACTTTTAGCATACATCTTATTTTTGTGTCAATAAAGAATGAAGCTAAAAATGTATTTATGTTTCCATTATTTTGTTTTATAACTGAGATATAACAGGTGAATTTCAATAGGTTATTTTTAAAGGTAAATCATGTACTATTATTTATTTGTGTGTGTTTTTGAAGGCCACCCCTGCGTCAGTCAGTGCACCAGTCGGGCTACCCCAGTGTTGATGCTCCTGCACCCAAGGGTCTCACATTTTGAAGATAACCCCTTGTTCAGTTTTTATGTCCTGTAAAAAAAATAAGTTTGCCCTAAAACAAGTTTGGTACCAATAGGACTTATTTGTGACGTGAGTTCTTCCTGTTTGACTGATCATATATGTTAATCATCTAAAGAGGAAGGAAATGTAGGCGTTAAAAACAACCTGATATCTGTCTTCTGCTCACTCACTGCAGAGGAGGACAGTCTTCTCTCAGACGATATCCTTCTTCACTGTAAGTAGAATAATTTATCAACATGTCTGGTACTGTTTGAGTCCTGCTGTGTTCTTATTAATCTGCTAACATGTTTTATTGTCCCTAAAGTCACACAGAGAGATGAGAGGAGCAGCGATGACTTTAACTGCAGCAGTGAGTGGATTTATCGTCCTCCTCCTCTCTGTGTCAGGTACTTCATATCTACAGTTACATTCATTTAATCTAAAGAGGGAAATCTGAGGAGATGTGGGACTGATTAATGCAGACTGAAAAGTGTGCTTGATGTTACAGGAAATCTTCTCAGAAACACTATAAACACAGTTTTAATGTATATCATTGTATATCTGTTTTAATGTCTAACAGGAAGATCTTTAGTTGGATCGCCTTTTTCATATTATTTCTTAAGCAGTTTGTTTCAGAATCTTTCATACAGTTTCTATCGACATGTATTTTTTATCCTTTTTAACATTTTTTGGATGGAAACTTGTTTCCATGATGCGTTGACAGCTTTTAAGATCGTATTTTAAGTATGAGTGTCTGCTCTGTTTCTCACACCTCATAGTTCTGCTTTTTTTAAAGTCTTCACACTTACTTCAACAGCAAACTTACCACAGACCATCCAAGTATGGCAAAAAGTCTTTAATAATCAATTCATAGTTTTCACATGACATCACACGCTTATGGAACCGCCCACCTGGCGGGCGATAAAGACTCTGTAGCTGAACGCTACTGAGAAGTTATTGGTCTCAGTGTTTTTTTATCAGTTTAATTTTTCCATGTTTCAAATGAGAGACAGTTGTTGTTGAATGTGATGCACTAACCGACGAGGAGACGAGCCCGGGTTGTTCTTCTACAGAATGTTTGAAAGAAAACCCAGAGAGGAGGAGATTGTGGATTAATGCTGTTAGACGCTCTGCTGTCCCTGTGAGGGAACAAAAGAACAGACTTCTCCTCATCATGACATTAAAGATTGTGTTAACTTGATCTAAATATTCCTGCCTTTAACGAACATTACTGCCCAGAACACTGACTGACAGAGACCCAGATACTATCGTCAGCTAACCTTAACTTATGTTAGCTTGTTAGCACTCACCGATGTTTGGATGATGAAGAATTTCTTGCCCTTCACTTCCTAAACGAGCATTATTGACCCAGCCACATCAAAAATACATAAAACTGTCTTTTCATCCTACAATGGTGAAGGAGAGGGATTACCCTCTAAATATAACATCTCTAAAGTGACGTTCTTCTCTCTGATAATCAATACGTCCTCTTACAACCGTAAAGTTCACAGGTCTAAATAACACATTTAACGTTCTCTACACCTTCAGACTGGATGATGTCTGGTCTCAACGACTTGCAGATTAACTGTAGAAACAAGTGAACATCTTCTACTCTTCCTTTAACTGTATATACAAATGGACAACATCCCTCAGGCTCCTTCTGTTGAACAAGATGAAGCCAAATTATCCTCATGATGGGCGCTTACATATTGCATATTTGCAACCAGAGTCTGCGTAGTAGGGATCCACTGGAAGACGTCACGCTACTTCCTCTAACGAAAACATTTAACGTACAGAGAAACATAAAAATCCCTCAGGTGTGTTCAGTCAACAGAAGAACAGATGCATGCATTTAGATTTCATTGTTGACCCCCATGGCCTTTCTGTTATCATGGAGGAGGTTGGAGTTTGACCTATACTGCAGCCAGTCAGCAGGGGGCGCTCTAAATCTTTCTCCTTTGACTGCAGCCGTTGCACCGTCAATTTTAACATACAGTCTATTTTTACACTAGAGCAGGGGTCTCCAACCTTTCTTCATCTGAGAGCTTCTTTGAAAAAATGAAAGTGGCCAATCAAATCTCTTGCATTCATTAACATCAGCTGAATGAAGCTACTGTTTGTACACGTGTGAAATTGCAAAAAGCCAATGCTCATCAAGAATCTTAAATTCACATCAAGGTCCAAGAAAAAAACATGAATATTTTACACTTCTTATTGTAAGCTATGTTGCTGAGAATTCACATCAATGTCCAAGAAAACATTACTTCTTTACACTTGTTTTAATGGGCCAAATATATGAATAGTGGGAAGAGGTACATTCACTGATTTATTTATTTATTTATTTTTTTAACACAGTCGGTCAACCTATAGGTGAGCTACTTTAAACCTGCCTGCTCCGAGCTACCTGTTGGAGACCCCTGCACTAGGGCTTTCAAACAATTACACATTTATGATTAATCATATCTTTAATCACATGTTTGAAGTTCCATTATTTTACATTTTAAATATGTTATGCTTTTATTGTAGATATTATACTGTTTTATGTTAAGGGTGCTTTACTTCCTGTTTGGATACAAACATTTTTTTTTATATGTTGAGACTTTTCCTTTTTCTTTTTAAAGTTATGGATGTTGATGGTTGTTTCCTGATGTGCTCTGTGTTACAGTGGTTCAGGGTCAGGACAGCTGGAGAGTGATTTACTCTTCTCTTCAGATCTGTGCTTATAAAGGATCAACTGTGGAGATGAACTGCACCTTCACATACCCAGAGAGGACAAAAGGAGAAGTTAACTCACTTCAGAAAACATTCTGGTTGAGAAAAGATGGTTTTTATTACAAAGATGTAGAAACAGTTTCAGAGTATTCAGGTCGTGTGAAGAATATCTGTGATGAGAACAAATGCACTCTGAGAATCACAAACCTGAGAGAGACAGACTCGACTGTGTACAGGTTTGGATTCATAACAAACAAAGACAGTTATCATGGTCGACCTGGGGTCACTCTGTCAGTCACAGGTAATCTTTCACCTCAATATTTCTGAGCTCACTGTTTCTAATACATTATAAATACATGTTTTAATATGTGCATGTTTTGTGAAAACAGTTGACGTTTCTTCACATGTTCAGATCTCCAGGTGAAGGTGAGCAGACCACATAAGGCTCTGCTCTTTCAGTGTCTCAGTGGACTTTCCAGTCAAACCTCCTACATCTGGTTCAGGAACGGACAGAAATTCAAACATAGCACTTCATCTTATTATTCACCAGAGCAGCTTCTTCAGACAGACAGTTACTCCTGTGCTCTATCAGGACATGAGAAGTGCCCGTCTCCTCCAGTGTGTGAGTTTATTTACAGTCTTCACTGATTCACACCATCAGATGGAATCTTTAAACTATTAAATGGTGCCTCATAGCAGCATGTACCTCAGTGGTATTTGTTATTTATTTAGATTTTTCATAGAATGTCCTGTTTATCTGTTTCAATGTAAAAAAAAAACCTTTATTCAGCTGTCATGAGCCTCAATTTCAAAACCAAAAGCTAAGTTAGAATGTAATATGTTCATCATCATCATCTGATGTGGATGACAAAGGTCTCTCTGATTCTCCTCCAGATGCTCCAAAGCTTCCCTCTGTGTCAGTGAGTCCCTCTGCTGAGATAGTGGAGGGCAGTTCAGTGACTCTGACCTGTAGCAGTGATGCTAACCCAGCAGCTACTTTTAAATGGTACAAGAGAAATCAGACCCCTCAATACCTTCATGAAGGAGCACAGCTGGTCTTCAACTACATTCAACCCTCGGCCTCTGGAGAGTATTACTGTGGATCTGAGAACAAGCTGGGGAGGAAGAGGTCTGGATACGTCTCTATCAATGTGAAATGTGAGTGAAACAGCAGAAATGTTCTTGAAGATATTATGTGTAAAGAAGAAACTCTCACCTACAAATAAACACACTACTATAGTCTCTTTGACAGATTCAAGTTAAAGGACCAGTGTGTGAGATTTAATCAGGACTTTAATGTGACGATTTAAAATATTTTTACTTGAGTTTAATTACTTTAAAAGTTTGTAATGTTAATGATTGTTTATGTCTGCACTTCACAAAGTTCACAATGCTTCACATGTTTCTATAATAAACCAGAAGACTCAGAACAAACGGCTGCTTTAGAGCGGGCCTTCAGTCTACTGAAGCCGGGCGACTCTGAGCCATTTCAGGACGATTTCATCAAAATCTTTGAGTCGACTGATTTTTCATTCTGCCTGATCTCCCGTTGTTAGTTGTGCAGTGTACACTGAGGCTCGACAGCCTATCATTGTCTATCATAACGATGTTCAGAGAGGAACCTCCATCCTGTCAGAGTGTGACTGAATGATGAACAGAGGGTATCACAAAGTAGAAATGAAATGTTTCAATCTAATCCTACCAGTAAAGAGTCTCACATATCTATCTTTAATTCTCAGGGAACTCAACATTCATAATACATATCATCAAGTGGACTCTGCTGCTCTTGATGTTGATTTCTCTGTTTCTCCTGACTCTGTGGACGAGGTAAACACCATACAAATTTATCCGTCAGCACACATCTCTTTTATTTTCTTCTTAAAACTTATTTTAGTTTTAGTTTTAGTTTTTTGGATTTGTTGTTTTCTGATTTAATCCAGAAAGAAGAAAACTCTGAACTCCACCACTGAACCAAATGAACCTGCAGAGATGAGAGAGAGAGAGAGAGAGAGAGAGAGAGAGAGAGAGAGAGAGAGAGAGAGAGAGAGAAAGAAAGATAGAGACAGTGAGAGAGAGAGAGAGAGAGAGAGAGAGAGAGAGAGAGAGAGAGAGAGAGAGAGAGAGAGAGAGACCTTACTAATCAATCTTTTCCTACATCACTGTAAAACCTGATGAAACATATTTCTGATCAAATCTTATCGTCTGTCATCAGGTGGATGTTGTGTATGAGAACGTGTCAGCCGTCACTGCAGCACAGACAGAAGACACAGAGGAGCAGGAACACATGCTGTGAAGTCCAGTCAGGTTAGAGCCTCCTGCTCTGAATCAAACAGGCCCACTTCACATTCAGAGTCACAGTTACAACTATAACTTTAGTTTGATGTGATTTTCTCCAGATGCAGTTGAACCAGATGCAGGACTCACTGTGGAGAGCGAGGCTGTGGAGGATGTGGGGGAAGTGGAAACATTGACCTTCAGCAGCAGGAAGTTAACAACAGCATGGAGCAGAGAGTTTAGGAGATGGTTTTCTTTTATTTAGCAGCTTATACATATGTATTTATTCATCATTTCTTTAACTAAACAAGCGTCTTTATTCCTGAAAATGTTCTTTTGTTCTGAAAGGAGCTCTCCAGTCACCTTTCAGTCTGCTCTGTGACATTTTAACTCATAAAGTTTAGTTTTTGTAAATATAACTTGTGTGAATAATATTGGACTATGATGACGTTTGATTATGAGTCACTCATCGTTTTAACTTTTATGCACCTCTTTGTAACTGTCTGAACGTTGCACCGTCAGAGTTTGAGCATTTCTCTGTTTGGTTGTGTATTTTATAATGACAATAAAGGCTTTCTATTTCTTAACGAGCAGCTCAATGGTGTAAAATCTGTCCTTCTGCTGTCTCTGTTATTGACATTATAATCACAGTAATCTCTTTTGCAGAAGGCTGCTGGTAGTTTTCAAATCAATGGAGCATATTTTCTTTTGTTTGTACTTTAAATGTTGAATAAATAATTTGACAACTATTTGATAAGAAAGGAGCATGGGAAAGTAATGATCTCTGTCTTATTGCAATCAACTAACTGGCAATATGTCGGGACCAAAACATTGTAAGTTAGACTTTAAAGGAGCTTGAATTACTTTTTTAAGTACTTTTAATTGTGACTTTCTTTTTGTGTCATTAAAACATGAAGCTCACATCAACAAGTACTGGGAGATTTTTCACACAGCCAGCGTCGCTTGTCTCCACAGCGGGCGTCGTTCCAGTTGGCCAGCACCGGGTTGTTATGATACATCTCCACACAATCCTCTCTGTTGTTGGGACCACCCGATCCGGCTGACCAGACTGCCAGAATCTGAATGAAGAACAGTGATGGAAGCAGTTTAGTGTGAAGACGTTAAAACTGGACTGACAGCAGTTAGTACAAGAAAGCTGATGGCAGAAGCTGCCATGTAGAGTGGCCATAAATATTAGCTGATACCATACATTAATACTTCGACACTGAAGCAGAGGGAGCAATTCAGGGTTAAGTGTCTTGCTGAAGTACACATCTGACATATGACTGCAGGAGCTGAGGATTGAGACGACCGACTCTACCACTCAGCCACAGACACCCTCACCACAGTTGTGTCTCTTACAGTGTTTTAAAGTTGTTTTTATTTTATTGGCAGGACAAGTGTCGTAAGAATGACGTCAAAGAAGTGAATCAATCAGAAATGAACATGATTAAATAAAAAACCTGAAGCCTGGTAGCATCATGGGTCAACTTGGTTCTTTATGAAGAAGGAGCCGACCCAGGACTTTAGTTTGGCTTCAGTGTACATGAGCTAAAACACAATGTCTCTTATTGGATCTATGAGGATTAATCACATCATGAATTGTCTTTGATTATATTTAAATCTACTCACATTGACACTAACTGTCAGGGGTTCTCCATGAAGTAAGATTTCAAATGCTTCGATTGAGCCAAATCACTGATGTAAAAGGGGAAATTACTCTGTTAGAATTAAAGACAGAGTTGTACTGCTTTTGTCCAGAAGAGGGCAGCAGAGAGCTGCATAAGCGCTGCCTTCAGTTTGGGTTAGGGAATGCAAAAAGGCTTTTGCTCTCCTTTTTAATAAACTGCAAAGAAAACAGCGCTGTGTGTGAATGTGCATGCCCCTTATAAAAGGTATAGAGTTAAGAGCAGGGAAAATCCCTGGTTCTCTGAAGAATTGTCTAATTTAATCCGAGAAAGAAATTATTATTGGGCAAAAGCAAGAAAGTTGAACACTGATGCTCTCTGGGCTACTTTTAGATGCTTAAGGAATAAATGTACTGCCTTAGTCAAGAAGGCCAAATCTAGCTATTATCTTGCCCTTACAACTGAACATTTAAATAACCCACGGAAATTCGGGCAGACAATCAAATCTCTATCTCCAAATAACTCCTCTAGTCTTCCAACTTGCATTGTGTCAGAGTCTGCCACTATCCATGACAGAGCTGAGATGCTCAATTGTTTTAATAAGTATTTTGTTTCTTCTGGTTTCCTTTTTGATAAAGTAAATACGCCCTCTACTGCACTGCTCCACTTGCTATTTGCTGAGCCCCCTTTGGATAATGAATTTAACTTTAGACCCTTCACTGTTGCTGAAGTACATAAAGCTCGTAAGAAATTCCATTTAAAAAAACCACCAGGGCCACATAATATAGGTGTTTATTTTTTAAAACTCGCCACAGTTTATTGCAGAGCCACTGACCCTACATTTTTAATTTAATTCTAACTAGTAAGAAAATCCCCAAAATATGGAAAACAGCTCACGTTCTTCCCCTCTTAAAAGTGACGAACCGTCGAGCCTCAATAACTACAGTGTTGTGGCCAAATGACCATATGAATTATTTACAGTGAAAAATCGTGAAGAGCCAAACATTAATGACTTTAGAATTATGTTTCAATTATTGTTTATTCTGGCTTAATTCGGTTTTACATTTTGTTATTTGATTTGGATATCTGTGCATTATTTCTCCCTCTATGGGCGGAGCCCGCCGGCGTATCAGCAGTGGAATTTAAGTTGATTAAGACACCTGAGGGAGAGTGAGAGGGGGAAGCGGAAACAGTTTTTTGACTGCGAAGCCGCTTAGGATCATACATTATTAGCGATCTGTTTGTTTATTTTAGTTAAGTTTTCTATTAATAAAATATAGTTTATAAGTTGACTTTGGATCCGCGGCTGCCTTTTGTTTTATTTGATAGCGTGT